AGGAAAACACCCTGTAAATATTTTTGGATGGGATCAATGTTTTTTAAACTTTTATATTTAGAAAACTGAGGTTATGGTTTGTCGTGCGGTTTCTCGTGGAATGAGATGTAACATTTAACTCGAACTAAGGACTTAGTTTGAGTTAACGTTTGACTGCTGCGTGTAGCTGCGGGCAGTTAGTTTGGACTAGGGGGATTTAAAAATGGCACCCGGACGGGAAGGTGCAAATAAAGCCCAGGATATTTAAATCCCAGGCTTCATTTGCAACTTCGAATGCCTACATTAGCCTCCCTAGTTCTAACTAGGGGGCTAGTGTAGAAATACCCTTACTTCGGTGTCATTTACATCGCCCAGAGGGGTGTATAAGTTACCTCCCTGAACAATATAAATTACATAGACCTAAGCACTGACATAGTTGTGCCTCTCAAGGAGGTAGATTTATTATGCTCATGGGAGACCTCTCTCTCGTTGGCATAGTGCATGTCCATTGAAGGAGCTCTGGCAATGCAGCTGCACTGCTGTAGTCTTTCGCATGGAGCTGAGTCCAATTTGAGGTGTGCTAATTAGTATCCTGAGTACACCACTGGGCATCAGGCTTTCTGCTAGTCTCATGGATATCAACAGGGCAGCAGAGAGTAGCATTGTAAATATTTTGCTAGGTGCTAAATATTTGCAGGATCAGGTCCTATAGGCACCCATAGAAATCAATAGGAATCTTGCCACTGGCTGCAATGGAGGCAAGATCAAACCCACAGGCCCGGATCCTGAGGTGCTGCTGAATACTGTCCTCTACATTTGACCTCACCTGAGCAATCAGGCCATGTCTGTAAACTGCAGCCTTGGAGATCTGAGCACAGAGAAGCTGTAAGAGCAGGTCCCTCTGTGCCAGCTGCAGACACGTTTCCCCATTGCTGTATAATGCTTCTCTTCTCCTCCCTGTGTCCTTGCAGCAGGGCCTCCAGATTGCTCCTGAACAACTGTGTGTAGGGGCGAGGAGGGGGGGAGCCCAAGCTCAGTGAAAGGCACCTGACTGGCACAAATTGCAGCTGGAATCAGAAAGAATCCAAAGCTGACCATTTTCAAAGCAAGACACAAGTCTCCTGGCTCGTCAATTGCCTTTTCTCAATAACAGACCTTGAAGTGGAAATATTATCATTCCCCATGACAAGGAGAGGAAGCAGGGAAAAGAGAAAATGTGACGAAGGTGGTGGTGAATCACTGTGTGGAGGAAAGCAGGCTCCTTGATAGACAATGTTGTTGCAACTGTTATTTTTGTATGCAGCATCTAGAGCAGGAGTGGGGACCACTGACCCACAGAAAAATCAGTCAGGGGCTGCACAGATGTGAGAAGCAATAAACAAACAAAAAAACCCTCACAGACATAGCCCTCAACTGAGGACACTTCCCACATTCCCCTTGCACTTCAGAGCCTAGGAGAGCCCAGCCTAGTAGATTTTGTGCTTCCAGCCCCAAGGTGGGGCAGCGGGGGCTGGAGTGCCAGCACAAATGACTTAATGCTAGGGGGCGAGGGGGCTGAGCCTTGGGGGCCTCATCCAAGCAAGAAGGGGGCTGCATCCGGACCCCAGTCTGAGATTCCACACTCATGTTCTAGAAATTGCATGTATGTGCCCACCACGTATGCTAGAGATAGATAGATAATCTATCTATATCTATCTAGCATATTCAGGATTTACATGATAACAGTGGCGATCAACTGACTGTAGCCACAGAACAGGGCGTGTTTCTCTTCTCTCACTGCACTAATGAAGGTTGAAAAGGGAACGCAGGCATTTCTTGCACCTGCAGACACTAACCAAAAGGAAATGGAACACAGATTCCTGACATATTCTCCTAAAGAACCTGACACATGGGCGTGACCACATAATGTCCACGAACGACTCTGTGCACGGGTTGTCAGAGGTAGCAGAAGGAAGCTGACTCTACAGGGCCCATCTGAAGTTAGTGGAGGTAAGCACCGGATTCAGCAAAGCTGGAGGATGGAACTGGGGAGGTCCCAACCCTCCAGGGCGTCTGACAGAATTGCCAGCCCATGGATCATTTATGCGTGGGAGTGGCTCCATGATCTCAGAAGGGCTGGGGCCTCGGGTGGAAGAGGGAGCACTGGGGCTAGTCTCCCCCTTACCAGTCCTTCAGTGCTGCCACAGGCTCCAGCAATGATTTAAAGGGCTCTGGGTGCCAGCTGCTGCTGTTGTTGCAGTAGCAGTGGCTGCGTTCTTTTACCCCGAAACAAAATAGTGACATTAAAAGGTCCAGGCACAGATTAAAAACCAAAGGTGATAGAGATGTAGCCGTGTTAGTCTGGGGTAGCTGAAGCAAAATGCAGGACAATGTAGCACTTTAAAGACTAACACGATGGTTTATTAGATGATGAGCTTTCGTGGGCCAGACCCACTTCCTCAGATCAAATAGTGGAAGAAAGTAGTCACAACCATATATACCAAAGGATACAATTAAAAAAAATGAACAAATATGAAAAGGACAAATCACATTGCAGAACAGAGAGGAGGAATCTTAATATAGAGCTGAAGATACAGATCACAGCTCATCATTGTCCTGCACTTTTTTGTTTGTGAGTTAATGGTATTAGAGGTGATAATTGGGGAAACTATCTTGGTAATGGGTGAGATAGTTCAAATGTTTGTTGAGTCCTTTTTGGAAAGTGTCGAATTTTAACATGAATGACAGGGCTTAAAATTGCACACTTAAAATTACTCACACTAGATACCATGCTCCAGTATGGACAAGAAATCAAAGATTGATATTAACCGTGAGGGCTTAACTTCTATACAAAGCCTGTAAGAACCAGGGGTACATGACACAAAATGATTTCTTCAGAGGAGTTGAGTCCACAGACTATTAATGTTATGAAGCCATTAATTAAGTGAATTTGGAGTGTGCGCTGTATTTACACTTTAAATGGGTTAATGAGATGAGGATTCCCATAAAATTGCGGTGTTGGTTTTATGCTAATGGCTGTTTGAATCTAAGCTGAACTATTAACTAAAGCTAAATGAAACAAATGCACCATCTTTACCGTAGGAAAGTAATTGGAAGGTGCTCTTACCAATTGCAAGAGGTCATTTGCTTCAGTTGAAAGACTATTGAGTGGGCCAAATGAAACAAAGAATCCGTGGGGAAAATTGGAAGGATGTGGTTTTGAGTTGAGCAGGGATTTATTTATGAGGGAAAATTAAAAAGAAAT